TATCAAAATTAGACACATGCAAATGAATAATTAATAAATGGTGAATAGGCATCAAGGTAGATCCCATGCTATACTTGCTTTGGTTAGCAAACTCCTGCTGGTCCTGCTGGTCGTCGAAGAACTCTTGGTCTCCAACGTTCTCCTCACCGTCTGAACGCGACCAACACGACAACATACAACATTCCAAAGGCATTCATGCAAAGCAAACAATCCTATAATTAGAATAGTACACCAACAATATAGAAAACAAGATAAAATGTTTATGAAAAGAATCTACGTCTCGCTACGATCACGTCAACGCGAAGTTCACGAAAAACGGAGCTAAAACGCGAAAGTTATGAATTAAACGGGGTTTCCTATAGCAATTTATTTAATTAAACCTAACCATGAAATTTAAAAGTTGCAAACATGATTAACAGTGGTACTAACATGTAGAGAACTTTATTACGAATCTAACGCGATTTGAACGGGTCAATTCGGAGCTAAAACGAAGTTTTTATGAGCAAAACAAATCCAGTGGCATTTATGTAAATAGTTAGAACTCATTTTCGATTTAAATAAATTTAAAAAGAAATTTAGATTTGAATCTGATGGAGGACGGCGCAATTTGCTGAGAGCCAAGGGTCTCTTTAGAAATTTGACCCGCGAAGGGGTATTGGCCTCTCAGAGCCGTTGGATCACAGATGGGTGGCTCGGATTAGATCTGGGGGGAAGAGAGGAGCCGGCCAGGAACAGTAGCTCCGGCGGCGGAGCAGCCATGGACGGCGGCAAGGAACATGCCGGCGTGCACGGTTCAGTGGCTACGGGCCATGGTTCGAAGAACCGAGGACACCGGGAGAGCGAGGGGGTGAAGGGGACCTCGGATAGGCTGATACGGCGGCCGGAGGACGCGGCCGAGGTGGCGGTCGCCATGGCCGGCGGCATGGAGCTCACGGGCGCATGCGAAACGGGGTCTACGGGCCATGAAACACGCAAATAACAGCACGGGGAGAAAGAGGGGAGCACGGCGAAGCTCACCGCGGTGACAAACGGGGTCGAAATCGGCTCGGGGACGGCAATCCACGCGGAGGGGCGGTCGGCGAACCACGTCGCTTCTCCGATGGGGCGGTTGTGGCTTCTCGCTCGAGCAAGTCTGAAAAGGAGCGGGAAGCAGCAGGGAGGCGGTGGAGGTCACGGCTCCATTTTAAAGAGGTCAGGCGCCGCCCCTCCCGCATGCGACATAGGCGCGGAGCGGCATAGCTTTGCTTGGACCAGGCGCTGCGGAGTGCGGAGGAGGGGGCATGAGCACGAGCTGCTGGGCGGTCACCTAGGCCAGCGCGGATGATGAGAGAAGGAGGAGGGCGCGGCAACAGTTGCCTGGCCGAACTAGGCCGGTCCAGGAAGCAAGTGGGGAAGGGGCGGCGGGCCCTGACCAGCAGCAAGCTGGGCAGTGAGGAAAAGCAGTCAGCAGGCCGAAACTAAAGAAGGGAGGGGAGAGAAAATGAATTTCCTTTTCTTTTTCCAAATCAAATTTCCAAATTCATTTTCAAAGGGTTTTTGAATCATTTTGGCATTTAGGTCAAAACCAGACATCACAATAAATTAAATGCAGCAACATGAATGCATCATAAGGTTACTAACCTTATATTTGATTTTAATTTCCCAAAAATTATTAATTTCCTATATTTGAATGCACACTCATTGTTGTTAACCTTATATTTGGTTTTATTTTTAATAAAATTATTATTTCCTAAATTCAAATTTCCACAAAATGCAGAATTAATCACTTTCTCCTATTTCCAAAAATATGCAAAATTTAGGGTGCCTACTCCATTTTGTGGAGGTGTACGAGGACACAACAGTATGCTCCAACACAGCTGCTCCCCTCGTACTCCTCTTCCCGTTCCACACCTCAGCGCTAGCAACTGTCACCGGACACCTAGATTAGCAACAACACCGCTGCAGCCGCGCATACCTGACACCTCCTCTCGGGCGCGGCCTCCTCACACGCCGCGACCGTCACTGCAGTCCCATGGCCACCATGGCCCGCGCCTCCTCCCATGCATGCTTGATGTGCATCGCCGCCTACACCTGAGCAGCTCGCTGCTCTGCCCCATTGACGCCTCTCTGCCCCACACCTATTCGTTTCGCTGAAATTTAGCCTCTGCTGATGCTTATGCTGATTTGTTGTGAGAAAAAAAACACTGTTCGTTGAAAAGTACTGCTAAAGTATTGCTACAGAACAGGACGCACTATCACACGAACTAGGTAGGGCAGGTGGTCGTCTCCATCTCCATTCCCCAGAACAGCGGCCCCCTATACACACACATACATAGTCAATACCATTGTCTCCCTCCCTCCAAGTCCCGCCTTCCTCCCCTATCCGACGTTCCGGCTCCTCCTCCATGGATGGCCCTTCCAATTCTGATAGATCCGTATCTGGTACGTCTTCCTTCATAAACCAAACTAACATGTTGTTTAGGTTACGTCAATAGGACTCATATAGGTTCAAAAAAAGGGACTCAGATAGGTAACTCATGCAGTGATAGTCACAAATCAAGAATTTGGTGCTGTATGTCACTTGCTATTTGTATCAGGGAGAGAAAAATATCCTACCCTTTGTTAATTATCAGAATTGACGGGCAGAGCTCACCTCCTGTCACTTTCGTCCTTTTTAAAAAGAAGAGAATTGTTGTTTGTCACTTGCTTTTTTCAACACACGGGGAAAAAAAATTCCTTCTCGAAGGTGATATCAAAATTGTTTCATATGAATTCCCTACTAGAGAAGAAAAAAAGATGCCTACAGATTTGGTATGGTTTTCTTTAGGAAGTTTTCAAAATTTCCTTCTCAAAGGTGATTATCAAAATTGATCATTTAGGAAGTTTTCTTTGATAATTTCTCATGTAGGAATATCAACCAACATGGCGACATGCACATCATGATCAATTGGCGATATATGCTGTTGGCAATTGGCATTGATCAATTACTCATCGCAAAGGATGAACTTAAATGTGTAGTATTCTTCCTCATTTTATCCTAGGATTTTGGCTGCAGTCAATCCACATGAAAAAGTCTATATGACCCCCTGATGTTTATCAGCGTGTCTACTTCACCACCCGACCTACAAAACCAATTATTCTACCTCCTTTAAGTGGTTTTGCCTCGCTAGGCCCACATATCATGTGATCTCATATATCAAAACAATCATAACTTTTCCATATCAAATCAAATGAAGACAAGCTTTCTATAAAAAATATAGAGCCTGTCGCGATCTATAATTTTGTAGTTGACAACTATTTTATTTGAGATCATTTAGAAGCCCAAATATTCATTTAAATTTATCAGATTTGAGTTAAGATTTTCAAAATTTTCAAATGACTTCATATGTTTGTACTGTCTATACCAAAGTTTTAGCTCATAATGTGATCCATAAATTTGTACAACATCCATAATGATGCTTATTTGATATCATAACTATTGATACTATTGTATATAATTAGTTAAACTTGAGAAACTTTAACGTGTCGTGCTAGAATTATAATCTTTTCTGAACCGATGGAGTAGTTGACAATATTTTTATTTGAGATATTTAGAGGCTTAAATATTCATTTTTATTTATTGAATTTTGAAATTTGATATTTAAAAAAAATCCAAATGGCTTCAGATGTTAACATTATCTATACCAAAGTTGTAATCCTTAATATATTTTATAAATTTATAGTTGAAAACTTTTTTATTTGAGATAGATAGTTTAGATGCTCAAATATTCATTTTAAGTTATCAAATTTTAATATTTATTTTTTGTACTTTTCAAATGACTTCAGACATTGGCGTTGTCTATATCAAACTTGTAGCCCATAACGAGATCTACAAATTTATAGTTGACAACATTTTCATTTGAGATAATTTAAAGGCTCAAATATCTATTTTAAGTTATTATATTTTGAAATTTTAATTTTAATTTTTAGTGATCTTGGATGAAGAAACGTTGTACACCAAAACTATAGTGTTTGACGAGATCTAAAACTTTTCCATTGAAAATTCTTTTTATTGGAGATCATTTAGAAGTCATGTAATCTTTCATTAAATATTTGAGCTTTGAAATGATCTCTAATAAAATAATTTTTGCTAGATGAGGGGTAGAATAACTAGTTTTATAGATGATGGTTGAAATAGATACACGGCTAAACATAGTACCGCACACCCAAGTCTTGTATGGCTACTCGTATCCAACTCAATCCATTAACACATGTGTATTAAGGATACGGTGTATCTAAACAAGACTCTACGTGGATTGAGATGGATTAAAGTACACCAAAAAAAGCCCTTAACAGCAAGTTATCTCTTGGACTGTCACTACCTGACCTTGAAATAATTCATCGTGTATCCAAAACTAAAACTCTGATATGCACGAGTTTAATTTGACTGGATGGCTTTCTGCAGCTTTGCGCGCTGCGAAAAGCACTGTATTAAAAAGATGCAAGACCGGTCATTTATAGCTATTGAACATTTTGATCCCTTTTTACTCACCTCGTGTTACCAAGCAGTGATAAGAGGTTCGATCCCTGATGGACTCGTGTGGCTCACCGGTGTTCAGGATTTTCTTTAGATTTCTCCGACTCCTCGCACGGATGAACTACAGCCGTCACACCTAGTGCGTGTGTTGTTGTGTGAGTTCAGATACTAAACTTATACTTGCAATGAGTTCAGATACTAAACTTGTACTTGCAATGAGTTCAGATACTAAACTTGTACTTGAAGAAGAAGAAGCTGTGATAAGAGCGCAGAGCTCAAGATAAAAGGACAGGAAAAATCCCCCAAAATAAAAACACACTCCATACACACTCACTGTTGGTCAGTCACACTCTGCATTATGCATTCTTGCGAGCTAAGAAGGCCTTACATTTTCTCTAGGTCAGGAAATCACCCTACTAACGCTACAGTCACGTACTCTTGTTTTGCAGCTTCACAACAGTCATCTAAAACCTTGGCTGGGAAGCTTCAGTGCAGGATGAAGAACTCAGGGTTTCAGGTTGTCATTCAATTTCCTAATCGACCTGTCGACGAAAAGAACATCATCGATCCATGAAAAAATGTTGAAAGCCAAGCTCTCCAACACTCTTGAGTAGCTCTCCAGGATCGCTTGCCCAACATCCTGCAAATTTGTCAGTTCATTTCATCTGATCAGTTCAAGAACATAATTTCGGTCCAGATAAATATGAGCAGATGAATAAAAAAGAAGATGAAAATGCCAACTAGTATGATCTTGTGTGCTTGCCAATGTAATTAGACAGCTTGATTTTGATCGGTTACCTTGTTGAACTGGATCTTGCTGGTGTCCAGGGTGGTCTGCGACAGGCCAGGGAAGCGGTGCTTGATGCAGAGCAGGAGGCTCTCGGCCCTGTTCGCCAGCGTCACGTTCTTGTCGTCGTCGGCGGCTGCGAGCTCCTTGACCTTGCTCCACGGCAGCTTGCCGTGGCTAACGCTAGCCTTGCGCCGCCACACGTACATGGCGGCCTCCACCCGGTCGGCCATCGCCAGCGCGTCGTGCTCCGACGAGATGTCGAGCGTGTCGAGCAGGAACTCCGGCGAGAACTTGTCGGCGCCCAGCATGACGCGGTACACCGAGTCCCCCACGCTTGCCCGCCCACTCTGAACGGACACCATGATTTTATTTACCCAAGGATTTCAGCAAGGAGAGAGAGATGTGTATACTGTTCCACTGGGAATGGATGCCTTCGTTTGGTACCTTGGGGAGCACGGCCGTGAACGACTCTGGCACCTCCATGTCGCCGAGGACGCCGCTGTTGATGGCGACGGCGGCCTTGTGGATCTGGTTGGCGCAGTCGCGCCTCTGCTGAAGGTCCTTGCGCGCCTTGTCGGTGAGGCCGGCGTCCGGGACGCAGGGCACCGGCAGCCACCACTTGTCCTCGTTCCGGTGAGCCGACCACCTGAACGACGATGACAACATCCTCGACGAGGAGGACGAGGTGACCGAGCCGAACGACCTCGTCCCGGCGTCCGCGTACCAGAACTCCGCCTTCTGGAAGCTGTCCAGAATGTCCTGCACCGTCCGTCGCGCATGATCGGATCATCATTGCTGACTGAGACCAAGCAAGCAAAATCAATGGAGGGAGCGGTGATTGGGATTTGATCTTACGATGAGCATAGCGTCGAGCTTCTCGAGCGCGGGAAGGTTGATGTAGATGTCCGATCTTGGTCTGGTCGCCATGACCTGCACGAATCGATCCGTCCTGATCAGCAACAATGTCGATTGGAAGAGAGACGACATTCCTCAAGTTTCATGGAAGAACTGAATCTTGCAAGAAGGAAAAACTCCATGGATGGATAAAAATATGATGAAGCGCAATGCAATGCAGCACCTCAACTTTGGTCCCGTCGGGCAGGGTCTGCGTGGACGGGTAGAACTCGACGATGTAGTCGCAGACGGAGAGGAGGCAGTCCATCTCTCTTGTCCACATCGCCTTCTTCCCCGCCGGCAGCGGCTCCAACTTGTGGCAACCCCCGAACACCGTCGCTGCGAAATTAAAACCGATCCAAGGACATGTTACTATAGTACTGATCGATGAAGATGCATGCCAGAAGCCCAGTACACGAAATGTTCCGAGTCTTGGCTCCATTGCCCTGTGCTTGCTTAAATGCTTACCGTAGAGGTTGGTGATGGCGTTGGAGATGGCCACGGCGGTGCAGACGCCCTTGCCGCCGCCGGACATGTCCTCGCCGAGCAGGAGCTTGGAGAACCTCTCCTTCACCAGCTCCATCTCTGCGCGCACATGCCAGTTCGGTCGAGTTAAGAAAAGACGCGACACGGTGATCAATCTGTACGAGGCAAGAACCGGCGTCGCGCCGCCACTACGTTACGTACCGTCGTCGGTGGAGCGGCGGTCGAGCACGTCGGCGCGGGGCTTGATGCTGAGCCGTCTGAGTGACTCGGCGGCGGACGCCGGGGACCGGCCGATGAGCTTGGCCACTGCGGCGGCGGTGGGCTCGAACGGCCCGCTGTGGTCGACGTCGACGCTGCTGCACTGCTCCGAGAAGGCGGACGTGGACACGTCGGATACGGTGCGGCTGAGGTTGCCCGCCGCCGCGTCGAGGAGGCTCCGCGTCGACGGCGACGAGCAGCACCCGCCGCCGCGCTCCCCGGCCTCCGAGCTCCTGTCGGACACCGAGCTGCTGTCCCTGTCCATGGCGTCGCTTCTTTGCTCCGCGTCGCCTTCGCCTTCGCCCTCCGCCGTCACGCTTTCAGACCAGTTGGGCACTGCACAGAACAAAGGAACACGAGATGGCTTTATAAGGGCCCCGCCCAACTGATGCAATGGACACGACAAAATGACAAATCCATCGAAACGGGAGAAGCCGACGCACTAGACCAGGGATAATTCGCAGGTTTAAATTTGAAATTGCCGTGTCGTCTTGCAGCAGATGCAGTATTTTTCAAAGTTTTTGTGAGGACTGGGAGAGACAATGCTGAGGAATTTGGAGAAATGCCCCAGTTGTTTATGCACGAGCCCCGCTGCTTTTGAGGGGTTTGTGATTTGTGAGGCGACGACTCCATACCAAATCATGCTTATATCATGGCATGCAGATAAAGATGCCGAGCAGAGCAGTCGAAAAAGGACGAGACGGCTAAAGATTCAGACGCCTTTGCTTTTGAACCTTCTCTTAGACGCAGATGCAGCAGGAGTGCCAAAAAGAATTTCATCGAACAGTACGACGGCGCGTGTCAATCTCCTCATCATCTCATCTCCCAGTGACCCAACCCAGATGGAAAGATTGGAAAAAATCTGCAAAAACTTGGAAAGAAACAAGCACGCCTTTGGTAACTGCAAATGCTCGGCTGCTGCAACTGCAAAGATGGAATGAAAGGGGCGCTAAAGATGGCAAGCAAAAGATTGTCCCTTTCTCACCTTTCCTGACGCCGATTTGATTTGATTTGGATTCCTACTACGCCGGTGACGAGCAGCTCTGCGCCTCAGCCCTTGGCCGTTGCCATGCATGGGCTGGAGACTCCTCTCTCCGGAGTCCACAGTTGTGTCGCTGTCCCTCGAAATGCTCCTGCGTCAAACACTGAAACTCCTCTCTGCTCTGGTAACGCTCCTCTAGCTTTGGCAACTCTGTCCTTGATTGTTTGATGAAAGAAGAAGTGATAATGAGGCGTTGAGAGGTAAAAAAGGATGCGTTGTCTTGAATCTGGCTTGGTTCTTGTTGTGTGTGTCCTGGGCATGGAACGGATAGTGGCCATGCCAGAGGAGACATTGGTGGCTTATTATTTTTAATTTTCATTTTAAAATATGTTATCAGGCGTGGAATGGAAGTGAATGTCTATAAAAATCGCGGCAAGATTACGGGTTGCTTCAGGAAAGTGCATGAGCATACAGTTTATGGCTCGAGAGGGTCAACACTGGAATTATTAAGTGGTGGTTATTATCCTAGATGGAGTACTACATGTTAAACAATTTTTTGAGCCAGACATGCGGAAAATAGTAGCATACTGGCCTCGCTGACAGTGGGCCATAAAAGTTTAGTCAAAAAATAAAAGAGGGATCTATATAGCAACCCAAAACAGAACAATGGAAAAACGAAAACTAAATGCGTCGTCACGGCGTGAGTTTTGTTAGTTAAAGCAATCGGGGATCACAATGATTGGGGGGACAGGATTGGTGAGGTGACCAGCAATCATGCATGGGCATGGCCCGATGAGCAGTGTCCAGCCAGGCACGAAATGACGGTGCGACGCAGCAGAGGCCAGAGGGCAACGCCAACGGAAAATCAACCGTGCGAGGTGCGTGGGCCAGTCCCAGCTCAGCTCAGCTCCCAGGAAGGCAGGAAGGAGGACGGATGTGCTAACCAGTGACCACCCACCAGACGTCCAGACCAGACCACCACAGGATGATGCAGCCTAGGCCATCGGATCGGATGGCCTACAGCTGAGGCTGCCCGGCCGTGGGTCGGCCGCTGATTGCGCGGCGTGGCAGCACGGCGCGTGATTTATGTTTCGAGTAGCTTTGCGTGCAGGATGTCCAAGACACTCTCCGTTGCGGCCGTTAACTTCACCTTCCGTGCAGTGCAGCATCCAACCTCTCGCCGAACGCAGATTCTAGCCCTTGGTGTGGGCATGCAGCTGAGTTTCAGCAATCTAAAAATCAACCGAGGTAATTTCCGATGGGTTTGGCTGGCTGGTGCGCTGCGGTGGTGCCGGTGCTTTTGAGGCAGCGGAAGCCGGAAAGCAGCGCACGGTATGGGAGGAAGCGCCCCGGGCGCGGATCCGGGCGTGCGCGTGTCGCGTTCCCGCGGTGCACGTAAGCGCGTCGGGATCCCGGCGGCGTGGCCGCGCAGCACTTCTGCTGCCGGTCTCTGACAAAACCCATGACGCCAGGGCGATCGAGAGAGAGGCTGCTCTGGAGTGGAGTGGCGCCAATGGCTATCGGGCAAGCGTGCCCCGGTGGCACGCCATGAGCTCCACCAAACCGTCACCTCCCCTCCAGCGCTCCCGGAGCATGCCTGAATAGACAATTGGGAAATCTTGCAGAGGCCGCCAAAGAAGAGGAGAGTTTGTTGGACGCCAGGACGGGGCCGTTGACTCAACACGGCATTAAAGTAGTCTCGGGCCGGTGCGGCGTGTGGAGTCGTGGGCGCTGCGTGGCCGTCACGATGCCTACCGGGTTCTTTTTCCTTCTCTATATACGGGGAGCTTGATTCTGTGCTGGGCACATATTCTAATATATCAAAGCAGGTTACTTTAGCCGATGCTCAGGCCATCCACGTCACCCGAATTGTTTCCAGCCGTCCGATCATTCATCGTGTGGCCCATATTACTTGTAGCAGCTTTTGTTCGAATCAGCTTCATGCAGATCCTCAACGATTTTGCCAGCTTCTACTGCGTCTCGTCCGAATCCGGACGACCAAATATAAACAACAGCTTCTGCTTCTTCTGGATTCTTCTGAAAATATCTCGCCTCCTCTTCCTCTCCCGAGCTCGACGCCTCTCCTTCCTGGTCACGGAACGCCGCCTCCACTACCTCCACCCCTGGCTTCCCTTCTTTCCTCTCTCTCTCTCTCTCTCTCTCTCTCGACGTGGCGCCGTGTGGCCGCGGGCCTCAGCGCCGTCGCTTCACCGCGTGAGGCGCGGGCGGCGCCACGCCGACCCCGGGTTGCGCTGGAGCTCCGCGTGTCGGCCCCGGCGGCGGCCGTCCCCGGCCACAACGCGGCCTCCTTCCAGAGCTCTGTGTCTGCTCCTCTGCTCCATGAAACCCTAGGTGCCTGTGCTCGACGACCCCGGCTACGCATCACGTCTTCCTCTCCGGCAGTGGCGCCGATGGCTCAACTTGGCGGCAGATTGGCGGTGCCTCACCCCTCCACCCGTGGTTCCGCGGTGACGGAGGCAGGTCACCCCCTCCTCGCCTCTCTCCTGCTCCACAGAAGCCCAACCACCAAGTATGGATGGCTATGGGCACTTCCCCTACTCTAGTTATGCTTCAGCTACAATGTTTAGTTTTCTAGATTTAAAGATTGATTTATTTGGATTTGTTACCGGAGATGGATGAGGGATTAGAGCCAGGTGTTTAGTTTGCTTTCTTTCTTAGCTTCGTTTAGCGGCACATGGATTCCTATTGTTACCGGTGATGAACTATGCACATTGTTACTGCTGAGACTTCATCGTTCTGTGACTTTGGGAGTTTTACCTTTTAGTGATGTTTCCATATTGTTATCTACCTATCTAAATGCCTTCACTCAGAGATTTGAATTTCATATGTATTTTGTTCCATATTTTGCTATGTTCTTCTACCATGTTTTCCTTTTGTAAATGCAAGGTTTAGTAGAAGAGTAAAATACTTCGATGTTGTAGATCATGTGCAGGTGACATACTACATATCTGGAATATCTACAGGTAAATTATTTGAAAGCATGAAAATCTGATTCTATAGTTTTAAAGACATGACAGATAACAAGGAAAATGGCCTATTCATACTTCTTTTGTTGTTTTTCCTGTTACTGTGACCAAAACATTCACCAGATGAATAGCCTATTCAAATAAATTATGAGCATCCTGCATTGCCAAGGCACTGGATTGTTGAAGGGCAGAACCAAAGTGCAGAGGCATGAGCCCGCGCTGAGGGGATGCCATGATGTCAAGTTTAGCGGCAACAACTAAAGGTCGTGTTTTCTATACCGGCTATAAATTTTGGTTTGCTTCATCATGTTATTTAGGGGAATATCTGCAATTGCCTTGGGTAGAAAAGCTTTGTCTAATTATTTGCAAGGATCAGAAGCAGCTGCTCCTTTTATTGGCTAAATTTGTAAAAACAATACCTGTTGCAGAGCATATGCGAACAATATTGGAGATCAGTGTGGTGGATGGATGGTTGCATGCCATGAAAGAAGGTTGAACAACCACTCTTGGTAAGAATAAACTTATCTTTGCAATATAATTGTTTTTTTACCTCAAAGTTTTATTATGTACTCTGATTCACACAATTTGATTCTACTATTAGTCAGTTTGATCGATTTACAGGATCCATTTTTCCTTTTCAAATATAGAATGTGCACTGTTGATATAGGTTCAGTCTCACATAGCCTGTCTTTTCCTAATTTCCTGATGGTGTCACTAGATTTCTAATAC